AGAGAGCGGGGTCCGCTAAATTAACGGATATTTAACGGAGGGCGCCCTCGTCCGCTATTAACGGATCCGGGTGGCCACCTCTAATGCACACGGCTAGTTGTTTCTCTTGTAATTGGGTAACTGGGAGGTTAAAGTGCAGTGTACAATATGCATGAACATCTCCTACAATAGTATGCTTCCTTAAGAGTTTATAGATGCTTGAACCAGCTTCATTGGGCTAGCAAAAGAGGAGGTATAATTAGATATATTACTAATACTTAAGACCCCCTCGCCGGAACCGTATTAGGGGATGAGATATAATCGTACGGCCTTGTGGCCGCATTGACACGTGATCAGGGTGCTGACCATCTCCAAAAAGGATAGCTACTCATGCCCGGTTGTAACATGTTCTCTTGCGGCCGCTCACACCCAACGGCTGCCCCTGCAGACCGCACGGCACCACACCCTCATTGCACACATAACTACCCCGCGCCCAGTCATCTTGCGGCTTGGGCCCACACCGCGACCCCCAAAGAGACGAGCGCCCCGGAAAGCCCATCGCCGATCTGGCGAAGGAGTCCCCGAGGGCCTCATTGGGCGCCTCAGTGGGTGCATCGCCCGCATTAAGCCCGAAAACCATGCTGCATGGTCTCAGATAAGAGAGTATGAAGGTACTGGTGAAATAACTTCCAAGGAGCACGCCTCTTGTAAATGCTAACGCATTAGAATGCAAATTTATCCAACTACCTCCAATGCTTACAATTATAAGCCGCATTTCGCCAGCGCAATGAGTATTGCAAACAAACGTACAAGGCTGTGCATAAGCCAACGAACGCGGTAAGTTTTGCCGGTGGACCGGTGATCATTTGCCCTACCGAGTGGGGAGCCTAGCATACCCTCCCAACGGGCACCAAAGATTCAACTGAACCGTGCGCGGCGCGTCGGAAACAAAGTGAGCTGCGCGGCAAAAGCACGCAAGGGCAGGTGGGCTGGTACCCTTCAATGTTCAGCAGCGTTGTCTGGAAATTCGTGGAAACCACCCCCAGAATCCAAACTACTGTATGGGACAAACAGAAGTTGCCCCAACACAGGGCCTCAAAGTACTGCGCAAACCCACTTGCACACAAGTGCCGCGTCAGCGCTGAGCGTGCGGCACAGCACCAGTCCCCTGGGGGCTCGCGGCACCGCCTCCCGTTGCCTGCACCCACGGTTTGCAGGCGCCTGCAGGCGTACAACAGCTCATACTAGGGGGCAAGCAGCGATGGCGTGCGTTGCGTGCCTGGCGGTTGCGCTGCTCCTGGCGGCATCTGTCCACTGCCGTGGTAAGATCATCACCCTTGCTCCTGTTCCGGAATGATCTGGGCCCCACTGGCGTTCGGAGGGAAATTCGGGTGTGCATTGATGTGGACTACCTTTCCGCAACGATAAGCCAGGGCGTTAGGTTCGATCATCTATGCTGGCAATCCATTCAATTCTGCGGATGCTGTTACCCCATGTGTGCACCAATGAAATGCACGATGCACGATTTCTTAGCATGGGACGGAGGGCTGTCTTGCTTATGCACTTTGCACAAGGGATGCGAGCGAATGGCACGTTGCCACGGCAGATAAGCTCTCTGTGATGCATTGCCACATCCAGCAAAATCTTCACTTTTGTGTTTGCACCTGGGCAACAGCTTGCTCACAACAGCAAACGAGGCAGCAGGTGAAGTTGCCAGAAACGTGGTTGCTTGAAGCGTGGACCTACGGCAGAGCACCCGAGCAAATTGTACTTAATCGCATTCCCCTCGTATCGCCTAGAGTTTTTGGCAACAAACAGTTGTGCGCATCGACATATCTTCTTCCATATTGTCGTCACAGCTGTGAGAGAATTACCACGGTCGTGAAGTCTGTGCGCTCGCTTGCATATATTTTCCCTTTCCTGTTGTCCACCGAAATGGACGCATTGCCAAGGCAACTGTGTCTCCAAACCCTTCCCCCCTGGTTTCCAAAGGTTGCTGCTCTTACAATCTGGCTTTGCATGCAACAAGCATGGTATCTCACCGCGTCCCTTTAACCCTGTTGGACCTCTTCACTCTCTGCAAGTCTGCCTGGCATCCCCAAACTGACTGGATTTTGTTGTTTGGGCAGTTGACGATGAACCGGCAATGCTGTGGCCTGGGGCTGGTGACCCACTGTCCCAGGTGCACAACGACGGTTGCAAAGTCTGTGGAGTCTTCGTGGACATGATACAAGACGCTCTGGAAGATCCGAGGGTGGAAGACTGGCTGGTGCGCCGGTTCTCTTGCAGTGGGGCTGGTATAGCGGCTTAGTGTGCTCCTGGAAGCTCCCTTCCACTAACTTCGTGGTACCGGTGTGTGGTGCAGCTGGATGTTGTTGAGCACAGCATGTGCCCACGCCTTCCAGAGAGTCTTGAGGAGAAGGTGATTCTGCGCACAGAGTTGATGCACTGCATGCACAACTATTATGCACAGCTCACATCTTGCTCACTATGGCCCAGAGCCATCCAAGGACTCTGAGCGGCAATTACAAATGGCTATTCCTTGGCCACTGTGGGCTTTCAAGTTTGAGATGAGGACATTGATTTTGATATCATTTCTGAATCCCACTAATTGGCTGGTTTGAGGGCCAGATGAACAGATGAACAGATGAACAGATGAACAGATGAACAGATGAACAGATGAACAGATGAACAGATGAACAGATGAACAGATGAACAGATGAACAGATGAACAGATATACAGATATACAGATGAACAGAAAAGCGCTTGCATATCGATCAGTACTGGAAAGGCAGCATTTTTTCCTATGCAGCAGTGAAGTTTTGTGGGGAATGCTGGATACTATGGATTGACTGATGATTGCTTGCGTTGAACTGCCTTGTTGTTGCACATCATTGCTTGCTTCTCTTGCCTTGATGCTGACCGTTATATGGCTGCATGCATGTTCAGTGTGTTGAGAATGCTCCAACTTTCGTCCCAGATGTCATTCATTGGCTGGAGGGCATTACCAACACAGCACTGTGCTCAGATATTGATGTCTGCGGACCAGCAGCACTGGACAGTGTGGTAGTCCAGGAGGTAAGAATTGGCACTGCTTTGTGGTAGGCCCTCTGTACAGCATTGCAGTCATCTTGTTGCTAGGTTCTGAGGATTTCATTTATGCCTTGGTTAGGACCAGGATGAGGACTTTGATTGTACTGTGTGCAAGAACTTGACAGCGATTGTGAAGAAGGAGGCTGGCAAAGTGCAGCCCGATACGCTGGTTGACAAGATCGAGCAGCTGAAAGAGGTAAGCCTGGACTGCACTGCAGGAGATGGCTTGTAGGAGCTTCTGGTATATTGGATGTGGCTGCATAGTACCGTATCCACTTTAGTTGGGCACTGTTTGCTGCATTGTGTGGATCCCCATTACTGACAAATGTGTGGTGCCCCCATAACTGACCTTGCATATCACGCACAATGCATGAGCTTACCTAGCCGATCACCCTCCCTCTTACATCGGAGTGTTCAGAATCCTTACAAGCACCCCATTGGGGAGTGTTGCACCACTACAACAAATCTACTGATGCCTCAACCTTGTCCCTGTTTTGTTAGCAATGTGATGAACTGGGCAATGAAGGCATCCAGGATCGGTGCAAGCAGCTCATTGACAAGTATGGTAAGGGTACCTGTTGTCTGTTTGCAAGTTGGTTTCTTCTTTGCCTCTGGAAAGCTGTTTGGCGCACAGAATCAATGAAACCCACTGGGTTTGGTTCCTTGCCTCGAAACAGTGGGAGTCGCTGTTTCTGCCACTATTGTTCTTTTTGAGTTTGATGATTGCAGTGTTAAACCTCTTGTATCAGGTTACATGCTGGTGTACTTCATCGAGAGGGAGAAAGATCAGGACATTGACAAAGCCTGTGCTGATCTGGGAATGTGCCCCATGCTGTTCAAGACTCCTGTCATTGATCCAATTCCATCGGACCTTGTGAAGAAGATGATGGGCTACAGAGCTGCCTCCAATGCAACTGACAAGTGCCAACGATGCAAGGTGCTCTCTTCAGTGCTTTGCCTGCTGGATTTGCTGATTTGCTGATAACATATTTACATCTTGACACTGCCCAGCTTCATCTAGGAGAGGATATCCTGCTTTTGGAACAGGACTCATGTTTGTTGAAATTGAATTCTGCACTGGTGCCCTCTAGATTTCAAGATTCTGGATCACATTTCGGAGTATATGGCAGTGCAGATTTATCTGTTGTTTCATTTGCAGCCGCTTACATGTCTTCGTGATTACGTCCTGTGGTGGCTGTGCTGTGCGTGGCGCTGGATCAGTGTGGTTACTGTGTGGTGTCACCGATTCTGTGCTGCAAATGTGTGGTTAGCTTGCAGCAAGGACATTCTGTTAGTGCCATAGCAGCTCTGCACCTGAATGCTTCTGTGCAGTGTATGAGCAGAGCAGTGTGAAAGCCTGACGTTGGAAGCATTCCAATTATTTATGTTTATTGCTATATGCAGTTTTGGGTTGGCCCACAAAGCAGCTGCCACTATGCATAGACTCAGCGGGTATATGAGGATGTCCGTTTCAAGATGAGAGATGGCACAGGATCAGTGAGCATCCGAATGATGTAGTGCTGTATGGCAGGCTGTGGCCCAAGACGCACTTGACGATCTGGCAAACCCAGACACCCAGAGGGCTGTGGCAGCATTCATTTCCAAGCCTTGCACCTGGGTTCCAGCCTATGAGGCAGAGTGCACTTCTGCCATGACCAACATCACCATCAATGTGAGCATAAGGCTTGGATGCAGGCACTGCACTACCCTCAGGCTGTTGCACATCTCTGGAACTATGGAATTCCGTTGCTTTGGCTGAGTCCTTGTATGCCTTGGGAAGATGGCGACAGAAAACAGTGAAATTTTTTCCCCTAAGTGCTTCTTTCCAGCTGCAGATGTTGCTAATGTGCATTGTATCTTGTATCCGATTGGCGCATTCTATATCCAAGTGTTGATCGTCCTCCAATTCAAAATGTACGTATTTGGGTGTCACGGACTGATTTTCCATGGCGTCTTGATGCTCTTCAGCAGACTGGCTTGCTATCCTGTTCTTCTTTGAAGGTGCTGACTGAAGCATTCTGGCATCGTGTGTGTTGCGATGTGGTTAGGTTTTGAATGACATCGCCACTGACACTACTGCTGATGAGGCTTGCACCAACTTGGCGTTTTGTGGGGGTCACAAAGATTCTCCAGTAAGCTGAAAAACATGCGACAGCGCTTCCTTGTCTGCACATGATGCCTGCTACAATTTTGCCTCTGCATGATATGGAGCAGTAGCTTTGCTGGCATCTCGCGTTTCTGGACCTGGGATTACTTTCTGCATTCATCCGTGTGTTTCGCTTGTTTAGTACCAATTGCATGCTTTTGTGATATTCACACTTGGACTGCGGCGGTGTGCAGGAGTGGTACATCAGAGATGAAAGTGTCCAACCAGCGCATGTGTACTGAGTTTTGCCCTCAAGGTGGAGGAAGGCGAAGCCAAAGCCAATGGATTAATGTCGATGTGTGGCTGCTGCGGATGAGGCTGCTGGTTCAGATCCAAGCCGGAGATCCTTTGCAGTGTTTTGGACAGAGATTCTGCCAACCTTTCGCCTTTGGAGATGTCCCACCATGCCTTTCCAGCTGGGAGTAGCAGTCTCCCTCCTCAAGCTGGAGTTTTTTGAACGAATGCAATGTACAATATGCACGAGCCAGGGCCGAGTCGGTTATTGGGTTGGGTTGGGGTTCGCTAGAATGCGGGTTTCTTGTCAGCTTGAAAGGGTGTGCATCAAGCCAGGTCAAAATAGGATGTTCGATGTCAGTGTTCAAGGAGTCAAGCGGTGGAGTGGGTGGGGGTGTATCTGAGTGTGTTGTTGTGGCGTCGAGGTGATGTTGGGCTGTGGTTTTAGAGCACAGGGCAGCTTGTTACCTTCGATTTTGTATTTGTTGTTGACACCTGTAGTGGTAAATCCAGTTGATGCCCATTGTCCTTGGCTGCTGCTGCTCTCTCTCTGATGGATCGGCGTGGGTGGAAAGAGCCACACCAAAAAGCAGCCAACCTATTCGACAGTGCAAAGATCGTGGCCTCGCCATGGCCAGACCTCTCTGGAGGGCAGTGAAAAATGAATTCAGTCAAGCGGGGTCAATTCCGAGCAACGAAACGGCCAGAAACGCACAGGCCGATCATCTTATGCCAGTCGCACACAGGGTCTGAGTCCCTCCCTTGAAAAGGACGCTCACTTGGCCTCATAGGTCCTCTCCTCAGCCGGTGAGGAGCTTGGCTGGATCCAGCGGCCATAACCAAAACGTGTTACAAGCCAAGAGCGGCCTACATTGCCAGCTCACCGGATTATATTCAAGTTCATGTTCGTTTTGGGCCACACACACCGCGGAATATACCCCAGAATATTCCCTGTTGTCCCTCTTGTAATGCCTCTTGTTATGCACATCAGAACTTTCCAGCACTTAGTCCCATCACCGTACTGCCCCTATGGGCCGCTCAAATCTAACCAAATCTTCCACCTAATGTCTAATAGCCCACATGCACCATAATATTACACATTGGACATTGATTCCTATTAGATTTTTTCTTGAAGCTCCAATGAACCCTAATGCCATCATACTGCCGCCGCTGACATGGAAGATTCTAGATTTGGGGACCCTAATACATTATATTCACCATGAAATTTCATAATCAACATAATACAATCCTTTGTCAAATCTCTTTACTTGAAACGACAGTTGAACAACGTGTACCACGTAGCTCCCGGCCGTTCAACATGTTGCTATCAGCATATTGCAAAGATCATGGCCTCGTCATGGTCGGACATCTCCGGAGGGCACCAGTGAAAAATCGACTTGTATTTAGTCGAGCGGGGTAGATTCCAAGAAATGAAACGGCCAGAAACGCACCGACCGAATTTCTCACACTAGTCACACACAGGGCCTGAGTCCCTTGAAAGGGATGCTCAGTTGGCCTCGCAGGTCCTCTTCTTAGTTGGTGAGGAGGCCTGGCTGGCTGCCACATGGTGATGGGTGGATGGGTGTGGTGATTTTACTTGGGGGTAGGCTAAAAATGATATTTCTGAAGCTAGGATTGGTCAAAAAGGTGGAATACCGTAAAATCGGCTTATTTCGAAGCTCTTGATACTGATAGCCTTTTGAAACGTCTGATTCCGTGTAGAAACGGCTAAGTTATGGCCATTTGAAGTTTTTGTACTTTAGCCCGGGATTTGGACCAGTCGGTCGAAGCATCGGGGATTACACAAGCTTGATTTAGGTGAATGGTGGGCGGGGACACGTGCACATAAAGCATTACAACACATTACATATTGTTGTGCATTATCTTGTCTTGATGTGACGGCGAGGGACCCACGATCAAGCCTCGTGCGCATGCGGGTCTTAAAACAGGCGCATGCAAGTCACCCGTGTAATCGATTCTGGCCCACTGCTTGGTCTCTCCGGGACCAGCGAGCCATCGCCTGGTTGCACCACCACTCGCTGCATACAACAGGCCCCGGGAAAGGATCCCCTGTGCATCTAGGTCCACCACATATCCAAGGGAACGAGCGCCCCATTACCACCCACCAATTGTGGAATGTACTTAATTAATTGTCTCATCTTAAACTAGATATTAATAGCTATTTATAAGTTTTGGAACCATCCAATTCAGTAAGTGGTAGAGGAGATAAGATTATTGGAATATCTAGTACTTAACACCTCTTCTGCGACCGTATTGGGAGATAAAGTCATATTGTAGTACATTGTATTGTTACATTCCCTGCACTGCTATATGGTCGGGGTAGTGGCCAGCCCAAAAGGGTGACCGGCCATCTATCAGAATGTAACTTGTTCTCTCGCCCATTCGCACGACCCAATGGTTGCACCCATATTGTGGGTCCTACAGGCCACATGGTGCCACGCACCCACTACGCACACAACCACACCATGCCCGGCCATCCCTACAACCTAGGCCCATGTTGCAAACCGAAAGAAACAAGTGCCCTGGCAAAGCCCATCGGTAATCCAGCGGAGGGGCCCCCTGTGGGCCTCATCGGGCACCTCGGCGGGCACATCACTCATATCCAAACCAAAAACTATGCTACTTGCCATATGGCATGCTACTTAGTTCGCATGCCATGAAGGTAGATAGGCAGTTGAGCATTTGTCAAGGATGGGCAGTGGGGTATTGGTTTGCACTTATCATGGGATGTATACCTGGCAATAGGCTTTTGGCACCGACGGCTTAGTCCGTCATATGTTACGTTCTATACTAGAGCCTTAAGCTTAGACTCATGCATGGTGTGCTTGGAAGTTGCTGACCAGGCTACTCCCCATAGGCAGCGGTTTTGGTGCCCATGGCACTTACGAGGTCAGCCGTGATTACACCCACAGAAGTAATGAACTGCGCAGGGGAGGCACACCCGCCGCTTGTGGGCCCCCCCTCTTACCCACCCAACCCCAATAATTTTGCCGCTTTTGTAGTAGGAGTGCATGGCGTGGCTTGCTCCTAGCTAAGGGCGAGTGGGGCCTGTCTGGTGTAGCCCGGCCCAATCCAGAACTTATATGTTGATATAAAAAATAACAAGTAAATAACGCCGCCCTGCTCTTAAATGGCCATGACCTTAATGAGGGGTTGTAAACTAGGTTATGCATTAAATTTATAGTTTTCTGGCTGGCTAGCCCTATGTAGTGTAGTGTTGTACATGTCTGAACTCCACTTAGCATCAACAAGACTCTCATTACTCAAAAGAATTAAATTTTGGTAGCACAGAATGGTTTTATTTGTGGCCATGCTAAATCTAGATATGCTAAGCAAGCCTAGCACAAAGTATTGCAGCCCATAATAGGTGGATTGCGGTTGGAAATATCTCGCATTCTACCCCCATCCACCCACTACCTTTTAACCCCATCCTCATCATGCTCCATTTTAGTGCCCTTTGGATCACAAAAACGCGCCAAACTACTAGCACACCTGCGCTTGCTTGCCTACCAATATTTTTGGTCAATCTGGCAGAAGTTCTGTTGCAAAACATATTTTCTTGTATATCTTTTAGGCCATGAGAGCCCTTATGGTTTAGACATCCACTCCATGCCTTGCAATTCCGTTGGGTGTATTTTGTAAAATATTGTCAGGCATTGAAAGCACAAGGGGGTTGGGGAGCAGACAAACGTTGGCTTGTAAAGGTCATAAGTTTGAAACCATACCTTGCATTTGGGAAGAGCTACCACAACTTAGTTGAGGGGAGGCACCAATATTGCTGCCAACCTATCAAGCTTGGGCATCGTTTTGCTTGCGGAGGTTCTTTCAATGTTCTTCAACATCGACACAGCAGGAGCCAAATTTGGAGCCATGTGCTCTTTTGTTCCATTTTTTGGTATTTCTCTTGACGGCCTCACTGTGCAGAGCTCCTGCCCTCTCCCAAGTTGGTATTCCCGATCAAACTGCATGTAAATATCTGGCCAACACTGCTGGCCCAAAGTGTAGTTAATGCAATGTATCTTCCAATGCATCTTCTGGTATAGCGTATCTACAATGCTGTGACGTGCAATCACCCTTTGTGCTCCTTTATCGAATTGGCCAGCATGTGTCATGTTGCTATTGCCATGCCATTGAGCATTTGTTGCATTACAGATGGGCAGGGATGCTGATTGCAACACGCTCCAAAAGCTGCAATCACCACACAATTCATTCTCAACATAAATAAAGCCCCAACATACCAATTCGCAATGTTAACCTTTGCCTTTTGCAAAGTATTTGCTCTCCTTCACCCAGTCTCCCTGTTCCCATCTAGGGTCCTTTTGAATATGTGAGATATGCCTGTATGATTGTGAGCTGCACCCCACCTACCCACTTGCACAATCCCGCTGCAGTTCTGGATTCGAACTTAACTGCCTTTAGGGAGGCCCCCTGTGCCTCACGGGGGAGCACTTCAGGCAGAAACTCAATCTCAAGCTTAACAATACGTCCAGCAGCAGAATTCTCACTAGGTACCCAGCTACATCGATGTTTGAATCTTGAGCGCAGATGGTAGCGTTGTAATAAGCATCCCTGCAACGCTGCACCAGCGGCTCGTTGTCAGCAGGTCGCTACCATATTGCAGCGAATCTTGAAGCGTCTTCTGCCATAAGGGCTCATGTACATTGGGGTTCATGCAGGTCCCATTTCAATGCAAAGCAAACGGCATCGAGATGGCAACATAAGGTTGTGGCCACTTACCCTGGCAAAGCGATGACAGGAGATGTTAGCGGCCTTTGCACATGCACCTTCCGTGGCACACAGAACCTCCTGAGGGACCTTTCCAGGTGCCTGATGGTGGGGCTCTCAGCGTTGAGACGATACAATTGATTTTGGCGCCATTGTTCCTCCCACATCTTTAAGCAGTATACAGGCCTGCACTCCTGCACGAAATATAAGGCGCCCACATCAGCGATGGCCAGAATCGATGTTCAGGCACCGTCAGCTGTAG